CACCCACCCTGAGCTGTAAGATAAAGCACTGGGTGGTAAACGTGGCACCATGGTAGGGAGCTTCCTTTTATCCTCACTGTTTCTGGAGGGGGAAGCGTTAGCACAGAGACTCCCCGGGAAACCCGAGGATGCCTCACCACCTCACCATAACAGCAGGAAACCCAGAAATGATTCACAGCTGAAACCTCTGGCCCACATCGACACATCACATCACATGGTCATTTCAACTGGAAACCAAACAGCCACCTGGGCATAATTATCTGTTTTTTTGTGAAGGTGTAAATACACAGTGAGTAGGAAGAGTCCAACAAAACCTATTATAATGCTGGTGGTGGGCGCCACAAAGAGAGCACCCCTTACTAGACATCCCCTGGTCCAGTGAAAGACAGGCTTTGTACTGAGTCTCCCGCCTGGGAGACCTGCCAGGAAAGTAAATCCCCAGGAAAGAGAGGCATTTCCCAGTAGGTGCTTTGCTTTTTGTTGGTTTTCTTTTCTCGGTTGTTTACTTTGTTCTACTTTGTTTTTACTATAGTTCTGTCCTACTGGTGGTGGAGTGGGACTCCATCATGATGTGTCACAGTTTCCTTGAGTTTTAGGAAAAGACGGCCCACGTGGCAGATTCAGAAATGATGAATCAGCACATAAACAAACAGGAAGGTAAGCAGCCCTCCCAAGGTCACCTGGTTAGCGGCAGGGTGTGAACCAGAGTCCAGGTGTCCTGACCACCCACCACCGCCTGTCTTCCTCCCTCATACAAGATCCCTTCTAGGCCAGGGCTGAGAACCAAGGCAGTGGCATCATGGGGAGGGAGTGAGGACAGAAAGGTCAGGGAAGGCACCGGGAGGGAGAGGCAGTCCCAACCCAACTCAACAGCCTAAGGTCAAAGCCCAGCTCCACTCCTGGCAGCTGTGAGACTTTGGTGCATTTGTTTAATGTCCTTGAGCCTCTATTTCTTCACTTGGAAAATAGGATTGATGACAATATGGTTCACTCTAAGAACTAAATGCCACATCAAACTTTGGGTAAAGGGGTTGGCACATCGTGAGGACCACATTGGCGCTTAATACTCCAATGATGGCTTCCCTATAAGTACAGAGTCTTCTTCAAGCAGTGGAGAGCATGGGTTTTGCCTGTTCCTTTAATCATGGCTGTGAATTTGCTCCAACACCATTGTTCCCAAAGTAGAACATACTGGCAGCTTCCCCCCATCCATGACCCATCTCTGCTTGGAGATTTTTTAGTAGTAGTACTGGCTACTTTTAAGGAGAACTCATTCCACTGTTGGACAATGGCAGCTCTTAGAAAGATCCCTCTTGCATTGGGATAAAATCTTACCTGCCTTTTTATAACTTCTCCTCACTGGTCTTAACACTACTGTTTTGGTTCTCATACTTAGAGAAATGTTCTCCCAGGGACTCTAGGTGATGTGTTGGGGATCAGTAAACCCATTAAATAAACAGGGCATGTTTTCCTTATGAACAAAATTAAAATGAAGATTTTTTAGGGAAACAGAATTTAAGCTTTGCATCGAATGGCTATGCTTTTTAAAATATGTTTCAGCCTGGGCATGGTGTCTTATGCCTGTAATCCCAGCACCGGGAGGCCGAGGCAGGCAGAAAACCTGAGGTCAGGAGTTCGAGACCAGCCTGGCCAATATGGCGAAACTCCGTCTCTACTAAAAAATACAAAAATTAGCCAGGATTGGTGGCGAGCACCTCTAATCTCAGCTACTTGGGAGGCTGAGGCAGGAGAATCGCTTGAACCCAGGAGGTGGAGGTTGCAGTGAGCCAAGATCGCGCCACTGCACTCCAGCACAGGCTGTCGCCTGTGAGAGTCTGACTCAAAAAAAAAAAAAAAGTTTCAATTTAAAATATTTTTTATTAAAACAAACAAGCATATTTTAGTATATAATATAAAATTCAAATCATTTCTTTTTCAGATTTGGCACAAAAAATTTTGCTTCGGGCAACCACTGCAAGCTCTATCCAGATCTCCCAGGAGTATCTATTCACTTGCCTGTGACACTGAGGATTTCTAGATGGAGAAGGCTGAGAAATGCTACTCTGCTGAACAGAGCTACAAAGAACAAATCTAATTCCTTTCCCATGGGGCTGCCCATCAAGTTTTCCTAAGATCTTACAGTTGGAAAGAGACTCAGAAGTTGTCTAAATCGATCTCCCTTCTGCAGCAATCCTAACAGATGGTCACCCAGCCTCCGCTGGATCAGGCTCAGAGTGGAAAAGAGACCACATGGTAATCATTGCCATTGCAGCGCTGGCCAGCTCTGATTGTTAGAATGTTCTTTTCTTAAGCCTAGCGCCATGCACAGGGACCCTGGAATGTGGCAGACCTGAGGTGGACAGCCGTTTCACCTCACCGGGCCTCAGTTTCCTGTAATCCCAGCACTTTGGGAGGTCGAGGCAGGCGGATCATCTGAGGTCAGGAGTTCGAGACCAGCCTGGCCAACGTGGCGAAACCCCAACTCTACTAAAAAATACAAAAATTAACCAGGCTTTAGGGCGGGTGCCTGTAATCCCAGCTACTCAGGAGGCTGAGGCAGGGAAAATGCTGTAAAATGGTGTGAATGGTGTTAGCTATATCACAAGGAAAAAAAAAAAACGGACAAAAAGCCCTTAGCATTCTGTCTGGCATGTTGAAGGATTCAATAAATGTTCACTATCATCACCATTCCCTTCCAAGCTTCCATGAGCTAAAATTCCAGAGACTGTTTATAATGCTTCTGCAACACCGTGCTTTACATATTCAAAAATAGTTAATGTACTGTCCCCTGGCTGCACCTAAAAAGCTTTTGTTCCTAAGTTAAATATGCCCCCGCCTTCCTTGATAGAATTAACATTGAAACCTCTCAGTGTATGGTTTTTGGAAAGCTGTTTGAAAGCGTGTTAAAAATTCTTAGGAATGAACTGGAGAAATGTCAGAAGATGAAAAGTGCCACGGAGAAAACAAAGGGAGCAGAGGAAAGGGATGGAAAAGGCTAGAATGCAAGGGGCGGGTGCAGCTTAAAATATAGGAGTCAAGTAGCTCACATTCAAAGAACTGGGCTTTCTCATGAAGCTTGATTAGAGACCATGGCATGGACCACAATGGGGTACTCCACGCCTTCTCAGAGTTGCAGGCAGACAGATCTGCCGTGCAGCACCGGCCACCCAGGCTGAAAAGCAGAAAGGCCTGAACAGGGGCTTGGCGAGGGCAGCCCAGGTTTGCTCACTGGGTGGCCAGAAGTTCAGCATCATCCTGTGGCCTCAACAGAAAGGGCCAGGGAGCAGGAGGTGGGGCACCAGGAGACCCTGTCTTTACATCATGCTCCAACCCCTAAAAATATGGCCCAATGCGTGTATTAGGCTCTCATCCATCCAGTTAATTCCTCCTTCTCTTATAGAGAAGAGTAACCAAGGCCGGGTGTGATGGCTCACACCTGTAATCCTAGCACTTTGGGAGGCTAAGGCGAGAAGATCACTTGAGCCCAGGAGTTCGAGATCAGCCTGACCATTATGGCAAAACCCTGTCTCTACCAAAAATACAAAAATTAGCCAGGTGTAGTGACGCACGTCTGTAACCCCAGGTACTTGGGAGGCTGAGGCAGGATCATCACTTGAACCTGGGAGATGGAGGTTACAGTGAGCCAAGATCATGCCACTGCACTCCAGCCTGGGCGACAGAAGGAGATCTTGTCTCAAAAAAAAAAAAAAAAGCAACAACCAAGTGTTAGGAACCGAACTGTGTCCCTCAAAAGTTCGTATGTTGCGCCAGGCACTGTGGCTCACGCCTGTAATTCCAGCACTTTGGGAGGCCGAGGCAGGCGGATCACCTGAGGTCGAGAGTTCGAGACCATCCTGACCAACATGGAGAAACCCTGTCTCTACCAAAAATACAAAATTAGCCGGTCGTGGTGGCGCATGTCTGTAATCCCAGCTACTCGGCAGCCTGAGGTAGGAGAATCGCTTGAACCCGAGAGGCAGAGGTTGCAGTGAGCCGAGATCACGCCATTGACTCCAGCCTGGGCAACAAAAGCGAAACTCTGTCTCAAAAAAAAAAGAAATAGTACGTTAAGTCCTAAATCCCAGTGTCACTGTGTTTGAAGATAGGGACTTTATGGAGGGACTTAAGGTTAAATGAAGCCATGACAATGGGACCCTAATGTGATAGAACCAAGGCAGATCACTTGAGCCCTTGTAAGAAGAGGGAAAGATACCAGAGCTCGTTCACTCTCTCCCCACCAGCCACAGAGGAAAGGACCAAGCGAGGAAAGCATTAGAAGGTGATCATCTGCAAGCCACAGGAGAAACCAGCCCTGCTCACACCTTGACTCTGGACTTCCAGCCTCCAGAACTGTGAGAAAATGCATTTCTTTGTTTAAGCCACCCAGTGTGCTATTTTGTTATAACAGCCCAAACCAACTCAAACATATAGCATAGCAGTTCCTCAAAAAAGTGACAATGTTAGTGGAAGTTTCTTCCTTTATGGGTTGAAGCAGAACATGGGGAGAGAAGAGTTCCTTGTTATAGGTAGATTCTTAAAATAATTCAATGCTGTAATTATAACAGATAAGAATGTAGGCTAAAACTAAATTTAAACAGGAAGTTACTTATATACCTCTAGCTATGAGTTCAATATATTATCTTATTCTTGGAAAAGAAAGAAATGAAATAAAGCCTTGAACAGAGGAAAAGGTAAAGAAATAAACCTGCGTAGAAGAAAATGGAAAAATTAAATGAAGTTGGAAGTTGTTAAGTACCAGTACTCTAAATTCTTTACACGAATTCAGACGTGTAAATCCTCATCGAAGGCAGGAACATTTGTAAAGTATTTACTGGACACCTGATGTATTCAGGGGGCTGAACTAAGTGTGGAAGCTATTAATAAAATAAAAGGTAATATTATCGATCCTGCCTTTAGAAATTTCTATTTTAGAATGCGAATACTAATAATACCCGCTGAGAATTTAGAGACCATCCCTTATCTCCAGAGCACTAGCCGCCCCCATCCCCAGCCCCGGGTCCGCAAAGGTTAGGGAGCGCAACAGAAGACCAAACGGGCTAACGGCAAGATGGAGCAGGAGAGAACCCACTTACCCGGCAGGCGTGAGAAGAGTCAAGGTGTTTCTAAGCACACAGCTGAAAATGGAGAACACGCTGGGGCTCCTGAGCAGGGGTTGGGGGCCAGAAACGAAGAGAGGCACTGACCAGCACTGTGTTCACAGTGGGGGATGAAATTTCAGAGAGATCATCTGGGCCCAAACCCACAGGTGAATCTGCTCCGTCAGGCCTCCTGCCGCTTGCGGACCTGCTGAGGTCTTTGACGCCACAGAAACCAAAATGAGCTGAGGCTTGGAGACTGGTTGGAAGCACCTGGGAATCTCATTTGATCTGTGGATTTTACTAATGGAAAAAAGGAGAAGATGGTCGAGCGCGGTGGCTCAAGCCTGTAATCCCAGCACTTTGGGAGGCCGAGACGGGCGGATCACGAAGTCAGGAGATCGAGACCATCCTGGCTAAAGCGGTGAAACCCCGTCTCTACTGACAAAAAAAAAAAAAAAAAAAAAAAAAAAAAAAAAACAAAAAAACTAGCCGGGCGTGATGGCGGGCGCCTGTAGTCCCAGCTACTCGGGAGGCTGAGGCAGGAGAATGGCGTGAGCCCGGGAGGCGGAGCTTGCAGTGAGCTGAGATCGGGCCACTGCAGTCCAGCCTGGGCGACAGAGCGAGACTCCGTCTCAAAAAAAAAAAGGCCGGGCGCGGTGGCTCAAGCCTGTAATCCCAGCACTTTGGGAGGCCGAGATGGGCGGATCACGAGGTCAGGAGATCGAGACCATCCTGGCTAACACGGTGAAACCCCGTCTCTACTAAAAAATACAAAAAACTAGCCGGGCGCGGTGGCGGGCGCCTGTAGTCCCAGCTACTCGGGAGGCTGAGGCAGGAGAATGGCGGGAACCCGGGAGGCGGAGCTTGCAGTGAGCCGAGATCCCAGCCACTGCACTCCAGCCTGGGCGGCAGAGCGAGACTCCGTCTCAAAAAAATAAATAAATAAAATTAAAAATAAAAAAAGGAGAAGATGCTCAGAGTGGTGGTCGGTTGCTCTGCCCACATGGGCCACCCAAGAGCACCCACAACCCGCCCTTACACCATGTCCATAGAAAGGGAGTGGTTGTCACTTCCTTCTGGGAGCAGGCATCGGGTAGGGAAAGGGATCAGGCAGGTTACAGGTTACACAGCAAGAAAGCTCAAACCACCTCTCTCAAACTCCCTCTGATTCTCCTTCATCCTCCTGTTCCAAAGCCTGGCGACTAGGATGCTCCTCTGTGTCCTATGCCATCTCATAGGCCTTGAGCTTGTTCCCTGGGGGTAACCTCTGCAGAAGCAGGAGGGTGCCCTCTAGTCGGCTCTTCCAAATGTGAGGAATGAAAGCCTTACCAAAGCAAAGCTGAGGAAACGTGTTCTTCCTTCCTTTCTCCTCCCACCCTTCCTGTCTTCCTTTCTTCCTTCCTTCCATCTTTTTTTTTTTTTTGAGACAGGGTCTTGCTCTGTCATCAGGGCTGGAAAACAGTGGCACCATCATGGCTCACTGCAACCATGACCTGCCAGGCTCAAAGAATACTCCAACCTCAGCCTCACGAGTGGCTGGGACTATCAACCACACCTAGCTAATTTTAAAATAAAATTTTGTACAGAAACAAGGTCTCACCTTGTTACCCAGGCTGGTGTTGAACTTCTGAGCTCAAGGGATCCTCCCACCTCAGCCTCCCAAGTAGCTGGGATTACAAGTGTGCACCACCATGCCTGACTAATCTTTGTATTTTTAGTAGAGATGGGGTTTTGCCATGTTGCCCAGGCTGGTCTTGCACTCCTGGTCCTAAGTGATCCTCCTGCCTCGGCCTCCCAAAGTGCTAGGATTACAGGCCTGAGCCACCACGCCCAGCCTCCATCCCTTCTTTATCTATTCCTTCCATTCTTCTCTTTCCTTCTCTCCCACCCTTCCTCCTTTCCTCCCTTTCTTTTTCCTTTCTTCCATCTTTTATTCCTTCCTTCCTCGCTCTCTCCCTCTATTGTTTACCATTTATTGAGCCAGTCAGTCCTTTGCCAAATATCACAAAATGCATATAAAGATATGTTCTAGATCATAATTTAGCAGTGCTTATAGCCTTAGGAGGGGGGAAAAACAGATGATGAGTTAAAAATTAAACCAGACTGTGAGGGGCCACTAGCTTCACTGAGGCAAAGAACCTCGAAGCATGATTCCATTTCCACAGATGGGGCTGCAGGAGAATATTCTGAGCCCAGCACAGAGGCCCAGATACACCGTCTTCTTCTGGGCGTCCAAATCCAGGCCTGAGAGCCCCTGGTGGGAGGAGGCTACAGCTCAGTGGAGGTTTCCTCTGCCTTTAAAATCATTCTAGGATGTGATTTTTGCCTTGAGTTACTAAGCTAAAAAAACAAACCAGAAATACCTATTTTGCTCAAAATAGCCCAGTCCTCCCTTACGCCAGGTTCTCGGAAGCTGCCTTGGGTGCCTTTGCCCCACACAAACTCCCAGCACCGCCCACCTTGGTGACTGATGATGTGGGCAGAGGGGAGCAGAACGGGAAGCGGCAGCTTGGCTTCTCTGCCTGGCCTCTCTGTGCTCTTTTGTTCTGTTTTGTTTTGTTTTGAGACAGAGTCTCACTCTGTCGCCCAGGCTGGAGTACAGTGGTGCGATCTCAACTCACTGCAACCTCTGCCTCCCAGGTTCAAGTGATTCTCATGCCTCAGCCTCCCAAGTAGCTGGGATTACAGGCACCCACCACCACGCCCAACTAATTTTTGTATTTTTAGTAGAGACGGGGTTTCACCACATTGGCCAGGCTGGTCTCGACCTCCTCACCTCAAGTGATCCGCCCACCTCAGTCTCCCAAAGTGCTGGGATTACAGGCGTGATCCACCGCTCCAGGCCAGTGCCTTTTTGAATTAAGTTTTTTTCCAGATCCTGAAGTCTCCCATTCCTACCTCTACTCATTCATAGTTCCTATTTTTTTAGTACCAGGTACTTTTTATATATGTTTTAACTTGTCTTCAATTATTTTCCTATTTACAGATGAAAAAAAACTGAAGACCAGAGAGGCTGTATAACTTGCCTAAGGTCATAAAACTACTTAATGATGAAAATTTAAAACCAAGTCTGTCTGACTCTATAGCCGTGGTTCTCACTGTCTGGTCCCTAGACCAGCCATATCAGCACCTCCTGGGAACTCATCAGAGACCTAATGAGTCAGACATCTGGGGGGCCCGGTGGAGCCATCTGTGTCCTGGCAAGCCTGAAGGCGATTCTACTGGACACTTCCGACCAATAACTACAGTTCCAGCACGTTCACTTCATCTCCACGCCATGCTGCATCTCCAACTTCCTGTTCTCCAAATGCAAAACTCACCATGGGGGAAGCATCCAGAAACAGAGTTGGTTTTCACTTCTCCCTGCAGATGCTCCCAGGGAGTTAAAGGTGACTCTTCACTCCAGACTCTAAATTTGACCCCCTTTCAGGCGGCCACCCCAGGTTCATTATCACACCAATCAGCCAACTGTTTTGAGTAGAAATTCCTTTCCCACCCTGTAAGGAATTCCAGGACACTGTCTATGAAGAGGGAAATCATGGCTTGGCTATTTGTTCAGGACACCCCTACCCTCTTCCAGACCAACAGCTCATTGAGACACCACTTGAGATACCACTTGACTACTGCCACCAGTCGACATTTATTGATCGAGTACTGTGTCAGGTCCTCTGCTAGGCCCTTTCAGACACACTATCTCAATTAATCCTTACAACAACCCAAGAGGTAGACACGATTATCAGCTCATTTCAAAAAGGAGAAAACTGAGGCACAGAATAAACAATTTGCCTAACTTCATCAGCTAATTAATTGCTGAGATGAGACTTAAATTCAGTTTGTCTCAAGAACCCCATGGTCTTATCCACTACGCCTTATTGCCTGGTACGGGCCTTTGTCGAACAAGTCTTCTCTCGTGGTACACTCCAGGCCAACTCTCTGTGTTCCAGCTTGAGAGTCCTCTTTGCAGCCATGTGAATCCAGTGTCTTCCTCTCCCTAATCCTCTAGGGCACCTCTGCCCAGCTTTCTTCCACCTCCACCACCCCCACCCACTCCCCTTCCCCCCCCACCACACACCTGGCCATTTCTCTCTGGAGCTGTTTCCTACTAGCTGGGCTGTCACCTCCCAGACACTTTTCCTTCCTTCAGACCAGCTTTGTCTCCTCTATGTGCTGTTCAGCATGGAATAAATTCTATCTTTTTCCAATTCCCAATTTCTAAGGCAGGTTTTTTTTTTTTTTTTAATTTTACCATCTCTGCTTTGACCAGACACTTGGTACAACTTCAAACATTGTCGCCTGTGGTTTGGCTGCCTAACAAGGAACTCTTGGCCCGCTTCGAAGCCAGCCTTCCTGAAGCCTGCCCTCACATTTAGCGCCCTTAATATAGACTCTGTCTACCACAGATCAGCGTGTACTGAGAAGATAGATGGGAATCAGGGAGGAGGCTATTTCATTGCCTGGTGGTGGAACCAATACTCAGTCTGGTGATATAAACTGAAAAATGCAAAAATGGGGAAGGCAAGGTGAGGAGTGAAGGCAGCTTCTCAGACTTGCTCGTGAGTTCGTAGTAAGGCATCTCCAACAAGAGTCTTGCAGAGGCCTCCTGGAGGGTCCCTTCCGTCCACAGTGATTGGGGCATAGGCTGGCTCAACCATAAAGGCAAACAGGAAACTCTGCCAACAAACAAAAGGAAAAAGGAAGCTCTCAGATTCCTGTTCCAAGCAGCTTTCTGGGAAGGACTTTATCTTGGGGGAAAGTTTTACTGAAGGAAATTTGACCTGAAGTTGCAAGTTTCCTTTGTTAAGAAAAGCAAATAACATGAAAGGGGAGAAAAGCAACAAGATGAAAGATTGGTCATCACAGATGCAGATCTAATCTCTGCCGTAATATAAACTGGAAGAACCTAGAACCCTGGGGAGGTGAGAGTGGCAGGCAGGGTGGGGTGACATGAGCAGAAACAACAGACAAGATGAGGCTGACCTCCCACAGGGGCAGCGAGGGCCCTGGCTGAGCACAGAAGAACAGAACAACATAAGGCTTCCAAGAGCAGGTTAGAGTCCTTCAGTATTAGGATGCAGTGTTTATAATCTCATGGGCCATGGCAAGTTCTGTGCTCTATGCATCTGGGAAATGAGATAATCAAAGCACATAAATAATACCAGCCAACCTTTTAAAACACAGTCAACATTTTTAAACACATATTAAAATCTTCTTGAGCCCTTCTCACATATTAACTAATTTAAACCTCACGACAACCCTGTGAAATACATAACCAATATTATCACTTCCCTTTATAGGGGCACAGAAAGGTTAAGCACCTTGTTCAAGGCCATACAGTTTGTAAGGCTCAAAAGCAGGATTTGAACGCAGGCCATCTGGTACCAATGTCCCTCCTCTTAACCACCACATCTGACTGCAAAGCAGTCTCTAAAATTAATCAAGTGTGATATGGTTGGATGTTTTGTCCCCTCCAAATCTCATGTTGAAATGTGACCTCCCATGGTGGAGGTGGGGCCTGGTGGTAAGGACAGACCTCCCATGAATGGCTTGGTGCCCTCCTCATGGTGATAAGTTCTTGTTCTGAGGTAACAGGCGATCTGGTTGTTTCAAAGAGTGTGGCACCTCCTCACTCTCTCTAGCTCCTTCTCTCACCACGCGATGCACTGGTTCTCCCTTCACCTTCCACCGTAATCGAAAGCTTCCTGAGGCCTCACCAGAAGCAGATCCCGGCACTCTGCTTTCTGTACGACCTGCGGAACTATGAGCCAAAATAAAACCTCTTTTCTTTATAAATCCCCCAATCTCAGGTATTTATTTATAGCAATGCCAAAACAGACTAACACAAGTGCATCTCCTCTCTGTTCTTTAAGAATGTTGGCAACTCTTGGGATGGTAATAGAAGATAGCAGAAGGAAAACTGGGTTGGAATCCTAACTCTATGACAGAAGAAGGGGAGCTGGGACCTTGAACCTCATAAGGTGATTATAAGTAATGAGATAATACGCGTCTCTGGCACATAGTAGATGCTCAGTAAATCATTACACTAGCTCATATTCACTGATGTTTATCAAGGGCTAAGTATGTGCTAGGCCCTAGATATAAATCTCCTGAATTGAATTCAACCAGACTAGATCGATTTTACACTCCTTCTTCATTTCAGGGCATGAGGAATGCTGAGGGTCAGCCTCTCGGAGAAGTTCTCAAAACTTCAACTCAATTTGTGTAGTAGTTGTGCACAATTCAGGTGAGGTGCTTATATTTCCTCTTAGTCATATTTTAATAAATGAAATATATTCTATAGGTTACAATCATAAAACAACTTTCTCTCTTTCTTCTGTTATCCCTTCAAACCCTCTCTTTAAGAGGTTCTTTCTCTGCCCTTAGTTGAGATTTCAGACAGGGCTGGTGGCTTTCTGAGTCATTCCTGGACACATGGGTCATTTTCAGTCACAAGCACAACCTCCTTTTAGTATTTTAAGTAGCCAGGGTATGGTAATAATACAAACCCTGAGCTTTTATTTAAATTGGAGAGTCTCGCCTCTTACAGTAGGGCGAGACTGCAGATGGTGATTGTTTGCCAGTAGCCAGGCATGGCTGCGTGGCCAACGTCCTCCCCTTCTCCCCCACTGACCCTCCTCCCACACTCCCCAGCTGCCGCTTCTGAGCCATTCAGGATCAGACTCAGGGTAGTGGGGATTAGAGGAAAAGAGCAGCAGTCTTACACGATGGGGACGCTCAGGACCTGGTGCTGGTGCCTGCTGAGCCTGGCAGATATGCAAAGCTGACCCTTTTGTGAAAGGCACTGCAGGTTGTCATGGGAACCTCCAACTCAGTTAACCTAACACAAACGTGACCGTATGTCCACTTTGCAGGGACAGTTCCAATGGAAGCCTGTTGCCTCAGCTATCTGGTAGTAGGCAGCTATTTGAGAAAGGATTCTTTCTCAAAAGTATCTCCAGTTAGGTGATAAGTTATGGAGCATCCTACTTAAAACAGATGAGGCTTCTCTGGAGGCACAAAGTTCAGCTTCCCCCAGAGATCTACTCCCCCTGGTCACCGCATCTGTCCAGGGGGGTCTCTGGACACAGTCCCTTCAGGAAGGCCCCAGGCTGTCTGCCTCCCGCATGGCTCTATCTATATCCGTGGATAATGGATGCCTTTCCTCGCCATTGTCTAGGAAACTGCAGCTTGCACCTACTGCAACTCAGTCTCCCTCCCTCTCTTTTTTCAGTTCTTCCTGCTCAGGCCTGTCTCACTGTCACTTCTTAGCCTTCATATTCCTCTCACTCCCAGTAGTATATGGAAGCCCCCTAAAGCCCCCTCACTTGGCTTACAGTGAGGGGACGTGTCCCTCACTCCTCTACTCTATGAGCCCTCTAACATCTGCCTCCAAAGGAATCTGCACTCTTGGCTCTTTTTTTTTTTTTTTGGAGACAGTGTCTTTTGCTCTGTTGCCCAGGCTGGAGTGCAGTGGCGCGATCATAGCTCACTGCAGCCTCAACCTCCTGGACTCAAGCAATCCTCCCACCTAAGCCTCCCAAGTAGCTGGGACTAATGTTTTATTTGTGGAGACAAGGGTCCCACTGTGTTACCATGGCTGGTCTTGAACTCCTAGGTGCAGGTGATCCTCCCACCTTCGCCTCCCAAACTACTGGAATTACAGGCACGAGTCGCCATGCCCAGCCTCAACTCTCTAAAGGTTGGAGGTGATGACTATAAGTCTTAGCAGGCCTGGTTTTACCATTTCTTGGCATGTCATGAATCACAGTTCAACTTCATATTCTTTATAATGTGGTATCACTTAATACCTATTGTAATATTTTCTGAGTTTAAGGATTCTGCCCATCTCCGAAACAACAGGAAGAGTTGAATTTAACATCAAATTATGTATGATTTAATAAAGAAGAAGGGGAAAAAGTCTTCCTGGTCTACTAAATCCTGAAAAGAAGATGATTCTTGTCTCCGTGCGTGACCCAAAGCCACAGCAGATTCCAGAAATGCAATGTTGACCGTGCAGGAAGGTAGCTGAGAAAGTGCAGCCTTAGCCAGGATTTCCCTCACCGTAAAGAGGGGATAGATGCTGCCAGGGCTGCCTCGGTCCATTTTCTTGAATTTCTTCTTCAAGATGCCAATGGATGTGGCATCTGAAAGTCTGATTCAGGTTTATGGCACTCATACCCTGGAAAAAAAAGGTCTGTGAAGTTTTAGTTCAGCTTCGAACATGTGAACAGAAAGTCTACCCTAGTATTGCCCCTTCTATATGGGAAAACCTGGCTGCATAGCTAACTAAGGTGTGCACAGAAACATCAGCCTCGCTGGTTACAGGTCTCAGTCTTTCATCCAATCCAAAAGGTAGAGAAGGAAGATTCTCTTCTCTGTGTCTTCAGGGGGATCACGGTGATATCCTTCAAAGCTGAAGGGCAGAAATCCAAGAATATGGCCACGCGGAATCACTGTGTTCACCTCTGTTTTTCCTATGGGTACCCGGAGAAGACTGCTGTGCATTCCCAGGCCACAGGTTGGCTCAGTAGCTTAACCAGGAACAATCTGTGAGTCCTGACTTTTAGCTCCGTGTCCTGCTCACTACACAACTCAAGCTCTGTGGAGTAGCGTGTCTGCAGAAACAAAGAAAAGCTTTTTAGAGTAATCGCACCTTTTCCCACAAGTTGTGTTTTCATAGGAGCTTTTTGCTTTTTTCCCCAGCAGCAAGGTAAAGCAAGCAATTGAACTGACTTGTTCTCAGATCAATGCGTCCATTGTGTGCTTCAGGGAGCAAAAGGGTGTTTTGTTGTTATTGCTTTTTTCTCTCTTTCAGTGTTGGTTTGGAGCAGAAATTAAACTTGGCCATGGGCTAAGAGGGAAAAGAACTGGATAGACAACTCTTTCTTTCTTTGGTTGGGATTTAGATTTCTGTAAAAATCCATAGGTTTATAAGTGAAATTGTTACTAAATACGTACCTACTGATACACATGTCCTCTTTCAAAGGCCCCTTCACCCTGCTCCTTTCCTCCTCACAGTAGCACCAGCTACACTCCAGAACGCTAGGACAACCTTTACTAAGGGTCTAAACTATTTGTGCCTGACATTGCTTGATTATCTTGCCAGGAAAACAGATGCAAGGTCCTGAGGTACTATCTCAAACGCTGGCAAAGAAAGGGAGATTGAAAAGTTCATGCTTACCATGAACAAAGTTTCAGATCAAAATTCTACAATGTCCTAATCTGCTTACAAATTGGGGAAAGGAGTGGCACTATTTTTTCCCTGTTTCTCCTCTGCTCACAGGTGATTTCCACAGAGTCTATTCTCAGTTCTGGGCTAGTTTAACTATAACTGGAGCCAAAACAGTTCAATAGGAAAGAACTGGTTTTTTTTTTTTTTTTTTCTCCAGCAAATGATGCTGGAACAACTGGATAGCCACATGCAAAAGAATGCAGTTGGGCCCCTGTGTCAGTCAGCTTGGGCTGCCATCACAAAATACCAAAGACTCTGGGGCTTGAAGCATATATGTTTATTGTCTAACAGTTCTGGAGGCTGGAAGTCCAAAATCAGGGGGCCAGCATTGTAGGGTTCCTGGCTTGCAGATGGCCACCTTCTCACTACGTGCACACATGGCAGGGAGGGAGGGAGAGAGACAGGCAGAGAGAGAGAGAGAAAGCTCTTCCCCTTCATACA